AAATGTAGCCATAAATTAGTTTTTGTTTCCAACAGTTATTTGGCATCAGATGTGAAAGTAATTATTTATTTGTCTGTTATTTGAGTCTTAAATTTCAAGGCTATTTAGAGGAGAGAGTGATGTATTGCATCGGTTTTCACTGTTTATTGATTTGAGAACAAAAAATTCATTGAAAACTTTGAACGACAATAAATTGTGTAAATTTTAACGCAAATAAACATAGCATTGGTTTTCAATAGTAGTGGCCATTGAATAGTGAATGGATTTTTAAATTATGGTTAGCTTTCAGTGTTTATTCGCTCTATTTTGTACTCCCATTGCTATCAACAAAAGGATTTGAATTTACTTTACATTTCAAACAATCAATTATTTGTGACCCAAAAAATGTTTCTAAATAAATGTCTCAACAATAGCCTGAAAACTAAAAGTGTTTTTGAGATTACTTTTGTATCATTGAAAAAATTAATTTAAATTTTATATCAAACAAAACTTTTTATACACAATTTATATACATTTTTATTATTTATTATCTCATATTTATTATTAACTCATGTATTGTAGTATTTATTGGCACAAACTCTGCGATAGGATGTGGTAAAAGAGTTTTCATAAAAATTCTTTGTGCTTCAAAACATATTATTTATGGTAATCATAGAGATATGTATTAATTGTGCATAAGTGTAAATTACCTTTGCTTTGGATAATTAATGGCAACAGTGTTTTGGTCACTCGCATAGTTCCCAATAAATTGATGTCAATCTGCCTCTGGATCTGATCCCACGACAACCAATCAAACTCTCCCATCACACAAACGCCCGCGTTGTTGATCAAAGCATCTAAACCTATATTTAANTTATTAAATTTTAATGTCTGACAGAAATGAGTAAAAATATAATTAATATTAATATCTGTTTTTCAACTGAAACGCTGAGAAAAAATAAACTAAAACCAGAGATTTAATGGTGTAATTAAAATCACATTTCAATTATTATTGAGAGTAAAGTTTCACTAAAATTACATACAAATTATATTACGGTATTATTAACAGTATATGTAATCAACACTTTCGAGAGTTTCATTGGAAAATAACATTTGAGGGCAAAAAATAGTTAACTTTCAAAACGTATTCGCAATAAATATAGAAATGTAGAAAAAATAAATAACTTTCACTTAAATGTGAAATTTGTGCACAATTTATGAAAACCACGAATAATTAGCTCATTGTTTATTATTGAACACAAAGTAAATCAGTTTTATTTGTATTTCGGGCGCGACTATAGTTTGATACGTTTTGGGATCACTTTTGGAGTTTGCTTTTAACCATTTTAGAGACAATACACGCAAACAGTCTATCCTTGAAAGCGATTGGTGTGAAATACATTAGGATGAAGAACACACGAAACAGTAGTGACGCGCTGGTGATGTACGGGCGCGGGTCCACCGCCAGAACCGCTTCCTCAAAGTCTTGACACAAAGTGGACGCCGTATACGACACGGGACTCGTTAGACCGCTATTAAGCTCAACGCTTTGGTGATAGTCGTGAAAGTATTGGCCATAGAGTTGACGCTTCTGGTCGTCCATTAAACGCCACATTTGGTCGGCGTTTGCCGAATGGCCGGCCATGAGATTCGTGAGCTTAGCATAGTCTCCTGGTTTGACCACGATCACTTTCACACCAAATTTGCACAACTCTAACCGCAACGCGTCGGACAGGCCTTCGATGGCGTACTTCGTGGCACAATAGACACTAATGCCCGGATAGGCACAGTTCCCATTCACTGAACTCACGTTTATTACTCTACCTATAAATGGTAATCAATTTTGGTATTAAAATTGTTGTCTGATTTAAAATGACAGCAAAAATGTAGCCATAAATTAGTTTTTGTTTCCAACAGTTATTTGGCATCAGATGTGAAAGTAATTATTTATTTGTCTGTTATTTGAGTCTTAAATTTCAAGGCTATTTAGAGGAGAGAGTGATGTATTGCATCGGTTTTCACTGTTTATTGATTTGAGAACAAAAAATTCATTGAAAACTTTGAACGACAATAAATTGTGTAAATTTTAACGCAAATAAACATAGCATTGGTTTTCAATAGTAGTGGCCATTGAATAGTGAATGGATTTTTAAATTATGGTTAGCTTTCAGTGTTTATTCGCTCTATTTTGTACTCCCATTGCTATCAACAAAAGGATTTGAATTTACTTTACATTTCAAACAATCAATTATTTGTGACCCAAAAAATGTTTCTAAATAAATGTCTCAACAATAGCCTGAAAACTAAAAGTGTTTTTGAGATTACTTTTGTATCATTGAAAAAATTAATTTAAATTTTATATCAAACAAAACTTTTTATACACAATTTATATACATTTTTATTATTTATTATCTCATATTTATTATTAACTCATGTATTGTAGTATTTATTGGCACAAACTCTGCGATAGGATGTGGTAAAAGAGTTTTCATAAAAATTCTTTGTGCTTCAAAACATATTATTTATGGTAATCATAGAGATATGTATTAATTGTGCATAAGTGTAAATTACCTTTGCTTTGGATAATTAATGGCAACAGTGTTTTGGTCACTCGCATAGTTCCCAATAAATTGATGTCAATCTGCCTCTGGATCTGATCCCACGACAACCAATCAAACTCTCCCATCACACAAACGCCCGCGTTGTTGATCAAAGCATCTAAACCTATATTTAATGTGTATTTTAATTTACTAATAAAATTGCAATAAATGCTAACTTAATTATCCGCATCTTATCTGTGCATTGAATTAATAAATACAGTAAATCTATTTCTGTATCTAATGATTAGTACATCTATTTTTGAAGCACTTTACGAGTGGTTATTGTTTAGTGAACTTATTTTAGATTAAATTTTCAATAAAGTTTAGGAAATGTTAGGAAAGATTATTAAGGATTTTACAGTCAATGAAATTTCCGTGAATTACAAATTTGGCTAAAGTTTTGTCTATTTTTGGAAATTATGCCAATTTTATGGGCAAAAGTCTAGACTTATATCATTTGATAACAAAAATACTTGTATTGTTACTTAAATGATAAAACTTTTTTGTTTGCATTTAGTATTGAAGATTAATATAGGGCTTAATATAAATGCATAGATTTGGTCAATAAGTTATGATTTATGATATAATAATTATAATTGAATAAATTTATACAAATTGAACATAAAATCAATTAATTTTAAATTAGACTAAAATGTGTAACCAAAAAATGTGAGACACAAACTAATACTACTAACTAAGTAATGTCTGACAAACTTCAAGATAACTTAAAATATTAACAACTATTTCTACAAATTTTCCAATTAATACAGTCTGCCCTTGATATAGGGGAATTCGATATGACGTGAGTGCCTTTTTGATGCCCAAACGAGTCCCTTATATCGAGTGCAGACTATATTAATTTTATTGAAAAGTTTTGAAACACATATTTCAGTGAAATTATGTAATGTTTTAATGAAATCTATTTATTAATAGCAATCAAAAGGAAATGAGAGCTCAGGTAGTAATGCCTTAAGGCTTACTGTAAAACCAATTCTGTGGCATATTTTCGGAAACATTTCGAGAGAGAGAGAGAGAGAGAGAGAG